GATCTCCGTGTAATACCGCAGCAGCCCAGAGGGGGAGCCCGCGCTATCTGAGATCTCTATGTAATACCGGAGCAGCCCAGAGGGGGAGCCCGCGCTGAGATCTCCGTGTAATACCGGAGCAGCCCAGAGGGGGAGCCCGCGCTATCTGAGATCTCCGCCTCTCTCACTAGTTTGAGCCGCAGTGCGATCCGTACACCGGGCCGGAAATTATGAACCGGAAGCGCTGGGAGCTGCACATTGACAGGCAGCGGGTGAGACTGAGATAAGCGGCCGAGAGCCACAAACCGGGGGAGTCACAGGGGCCCCCCGACCGCACTGTGCACCCAGCCTGGGGGGGCCTGACCGGGGCCGTAATAACTCCCTGACCGGGGCCGTAATAACTCCCTGACCGGGGCCGTAATAACTCCCTGACCGGGGCCGTAATAACTCCCTGACCGGGGCCGTAATAACTCCCTGACCGGGGCCGTAATAACTCCCTGACCGGGGCCGTAATAACTCCGTGACCGGGGCCGTAATAACTCCCTGACCGGGGCCGTAATAACTCCCTGACCGGGGCCGTAATAACTCCGTGACCGGGGCCGTAATAACTCCGTGACCGGGGCCGTAATAACTCCGTGACCGGGGCCGTAATAACTCCGTGACCGGGGCCGTAATAACTCCGTGACCGGGGCCGTAATAACTCTCTGACCGGGGCCGTAATAACTCTCTGACCGGGGCCGTAATAACTCTCTGACCGGGGCCGTAATAACTCTCTGACCGGGGCCGTAATAACTCCCTGACCGGGGCCGTAATAACTCCCTGACCGGGGCCGTAATAACTCCCTGACCGGGGCCGTAATAACTCCGTGACCGGGGCCGTAATAACTCCCTGACCGGGGCCGTAATAACTCCCTGACCGGGGCCGTAATAACTCCGTGACCGGGGCCGTAACAAAACTCTCTGACAGCAATACGTAATATCGGTGACTTCGTTCAGTTACGTGTACTACTACCACAAAAAGAGGACATAGTCTTAAATTAGAGGGGCAAAGGTTTAAAAATATTATCAGGAAGTATTACTTTACTGAGAGGGTAGTGGATGCATGGAATAGCCTTCCAGCTGAAGTGGTAGAGGTTAACACAGTAAAGGAGTGTAAGCATGTGTGGGATAGGCATAAAGCTATCCTAACTATAAGATAAGGCCAGGGACTAATGAAAACATTTAGAAAATTGGGCAGACTAGATGGGCCAAAAGGTTCTTATCCGCTGTCATATTCTAGGTTTCTAGTAAAGATGTGTAGCTGCTTTTTAATAACTACAAGCAGACAAAATAGAATGTGTGTATGAAAATCTATCATTTTATACTTGTTATGCTCTTCCCAACTAAATGTTATGGCAGCATGGGCATAACTCCTCCCACTTCCAAAATGGACATGAATACTTCCTAATTAAAACATGCTCTAGGCACTAGATACTTTACATTGAGGTGTTTTTGGTTCCTGGAGTCCTAAGTGCCATTCAATTTAGTATTTGAAATGCTTTAAGATAAAGCTGCAGCCCTGCCCTTCTCAGCTTCCTCATTAGTCAGCTGAGCACTCTCCGCCTGTCACTGCTCCCCATCACTGGTAAAGCTAATTAACTTGGCTAGACATCCAGGGGGTAGGACGACCAGACATTTGGAAACTCACTCCAAGTTAAACAGCAGACGACTCCAGGCACCATAATCACTTGATTGAAAACATTATGGTGTCCAGAGTGTCCCTTTAAGAATATTAGAGGGAACTCCCAGCACCCATGTCCTCCTTGTGTCATCAATGCCAAATTCCCAAACAGGAAAGTGTGGGATCATAGTGCTGCCAAAGCATATAGCCAGGAAAATAAAATAACAGAATAATAAGCAGGTATTAATTTTCTGTTTTGAGCACCCAACAAAGTTGTCAAGCTATTATAAAACCATTTGACCGATTGTGGTGGGTCTGGTGCTTTTAGTGTTTGTTGCATTGTACTGCAGAGAACTTGTTTTGAGGAGTGCCATTGCTTTAAAGTGGGTCTCTCTTTTTTGGGGGAGGGGGGGGGAAGAGAGGTCTTTACAGATTTTGCAAAGACCTCCGAAGGGGACATATATGGTTAGGGTTTGGAGGCCGTAGGGTGCAATATGCAAGTTTACTTATCTGAAACTATCCCTCGCCATCCTTTTCGGCTCCTGACATTAAATCTGCCAGGAGCTGTCAGTGCTGTACTTTCACATACGCAAGAGTACAACACAGAGGTGTATGCAAGATCTTGCACGAGACTATGTCTGTATCCCAGTCATCACTTGAGGCAGCTGCTGAGATTGGGCAAAAGTTGTCCCTACTTTGTCTTGTGTTTTTTTTTGTTTGTGTTGTGTTTTAATTTCAATGAAATTCCAATGCAGTCAGCAAGAGTATAGAATAGTACATTATATCTAAACTAAAAACTGAGAAATAACAGAGCTGCTTTGAGTATCATGGTTTGGACTCTGTCCATCTGATGTAAATGGAGTGTGAGCAGAACAAAGGCACTGCCTGTCTGCGTTTTATAAAAAAAAAAAAAAAAAGGTATAGTTAAGGCAGCCCCTTCTTGCATCGTATAAATGGAACAGTCTGGGCTGGTATCAAGGTATAATTGCACAGGCTGCTATTGCGGTATAATGGCGCGAGCTGGGCTGCTATCGTGGTATTATGGTGCCAGCTGAACTGGTATCACAGTGTAATGGTGCGTGCTAGACTGGTATCGCGGTATAATGGTGCGTGCTGGGCTGCTATCGCAGTATAATGGTGCGTGCTGGGCTGGTGTTGCGGTATAATGGTGCGTGCTGGGCTGGTGTCGCGGTATAATGGTGCGTGCTGGGCTGGTATCGCGGTATAATGGTGCGTGCTGGGCTGCTGTCGCGGTATAATGGTGCGTGCTGGGCTGCTATCGCGGTATAATGGTGCGTGCTGGGCTGGTGTCGCGGTATAATGGTGCGTGCTGGGCTGGTGTCGCGGTATAATGGTGCGTGCTGGGCTGCTGTCGCGGTATAATGGTGCGTGCTGGGCTAGTGTCGCGGTATAATGGTGCGTGCTGGGCTGGTGTCGCGGTATAATGGTGCGTGCTGGGCTGGTGTCGCGGTATAATGGTGCGTGCTGGGCTGCGCGGTATAATGGTGCGTGCTGGGCTGGTGTCGCGGTATAATGGTGCGTGCTGGGCTGGTGTCGCGGTATAATGGTGCGTGCTGGGCTGCTATCGCGGTATAATGGTGCGTGCTGGGCTGGTATCGCGGTATAATGGTGCGTGCTGGGCTGCTGTCGCGGTATAATGGTGCGTGCTGGGCTGCTGTCGCGGTATAATGGTGCGTGCTGGGCTGGTATCGCAGTGTAAATTGCACATAATACAGATTCATAAACAGCACAATCATAAATATAAATCTCTGAACTCTATAATGGTACTTAAAATCTCCTCTCAGCCCTCCACTGTGTCACAGCACCCTATTGGTGGGTCTTACACTAATTCCAACGTGGCGATACATGGTGCTAGCACTCACTGTCTCCATTACAGATTTTATAAAATGTGTGTATTTATGATAGCGCGGTTCCTTGGTCTGTATTATGTATACATTTCGGTCACTATGGCGACATATTCCGGGTGTTTCCCCCAATTCCCATGTGTTATTATGGGGTAAGTTTGGAATCCAGGCCAGATCCCATGTGGGGTTAATGCCCCTCCCCCCAGGTGTGTATTGGAATGTAATGTCACTATAGATAGAACATGCTCAGTGTGCCCCCAGGCTGCTGTCAGCACCATGCAACTCTCTGCCCGGAAGTGTTACCCGGCGCCCCGGAAGTAGTCCGTTACAGTACCCGGAAGTGGTCAGTTGGCCCCCTGAGCGGAGCTCGCACACCCGGCAGGGGGCGGAGCCGGGGCCCCGCGGCTCTCAGCAACCGAACCCACATCGTACGTTAACCCGGGAGGGACGTTGAGGGGCGGGGCCAGGCCACCTAGTTAGTATCTCTCCCCCCCCCTCAACGTCACTGCTGCTATGGCAACGGCGAGCGTCTACCGGGAGGGGGCGGGGTTAGACAGCTGGCACGGGCTGTGTGTCAATAACGGAGAACATGGCGGCCCGAGTACACCCAATACACCGAGCGGGAACCGGGAACACTGACACTAATACTGTGTGTATGGAGAGAGAGGGAGAGACAGTACACATAGTCTGTAACATGGATACACAGTGTATAGTGCGCACTGACACTAATACTGTGTGTATGGAGAGAGAGGGAGAGACTGTACACATAGTATGTAACATGGATACACAGTGTATAGTGCGCACTGACACTAATACTGTGTGTATGGAGAGAGAGGGAGAGACTGTACACATAGTCTGTAACATGGATACACAGTGTATAGTGCGCACTGACACTAATACTGTGTGTATGGAGAGAGAGGGAGAGACTGTACACATAGTATGTAACATGGATACACAGTGTATAGTGCGCACTGACACTAATACTGTGTGTATGGAGAGAGAGAGGAGAGACAGTACACATAGTATGTAACATGGATACACAGTGTATAGTGCGCGCTGACACTAATACTGTGTGTATGGAGAGAGAGGGAGAGACAGTACACATAGTATGTAATATGGATACACAGTGTATAGTGCGCGCTGACACTAATACTGTGTGTATGGAGAGAGAGGGAGAGACAGTACACATAGTATGTAATATGGATACACAGTGTATAGTGCGCACTGACACTAATACTGTGTGTATGGAGAGAGAGGGAGAGACTGTACACATAGTATGTAACATGGATACACAGTGTATAGTGCGACTGACACTACACTGTGTGTATGGAGAGAGAGAGAGACTGTACACATAGTCTGTAATATGGATACACAGTGTATAGTGCGCACTGACACTAATACTGTGTGTATGGAGAGAGAGAGGGAGAGACAGTACACATAGTCTAACATGGATACACAGTGTATAGTGCGCACTGACACTAATACTGTGTGTATGGAGAGAGAGGGAGAGACAGTACACATAGTATGTAACATGGATACACAGTGTATAGTGCGCACTGACACTAATTCTGTGTGTATGGAGAGAGAGAGGGAGAGACTGTACACATAGTATGTAATATGGATACACAGTGTATAGTGCGCGCTGACACTAATACTGTGTGTATGGAGACAGAGGGAGAGACAGTACACATAGTATGTAACATGGATACACAGTGTATAGTGCGCACTGACACTAATACTGTGTGTATGGAGAGAGAGGGAGAGACTGTACACATAGTCTGTAACATGGATACACAGTGTATAGTGCGCACTGACACTAATACTGTGTGTATGGAGAGAGAGGGAGAGACTGTACACATAGTCTGTAACATGGATACACAGTGTATAGTGCGCACTGACACTAATACTGTGTGTATGGAGAGAGAGAGGGAGAGACTGTACACATAGTATGTAACATGGATACACAGTGTATAGTGCGCACTGACACTAATACTGTGTGTATGGAGAGAGAGGGAGAGACAGTACACAGTCTGTAATATGGATACACAGTGTATAGTGCGCACTGACACTAATACTGTGTGTATGGAGAGAGAGGGAGAGACTGTACACATAGTCTGTAATATGGATACACAGTGTATAGTGCGCACTGACACTAATACTGTGTGTATGGAGAGAGAGGGAGAGACTGTACACATAGTCTGTGTGTGATAGTGATGAGAGAGAGGAGAGACAGTACACATAGTATGTAATATGGATACACAGTGTATAGTGCGCACTGACACTAATACTGTGTGTATGGAGAGAGAGAGGGAGAGACTGTACACATAGTCTGTAACATGGATACACAGTGTATAGTGCGCACTGACACTAATACTGTGTGTATGGAGAGAGAGGGAGAGACAGTACACATAGTATGTAACATGGATACACAGTGTATAGTGCGCACTGACACTAATACTGTGTGTATGGAGAGAGAGGGAGAGACTGTACACATAGTCTGTAACATGGATACACAGTGTATAGTGCGCACTGACACTAATACTGTGTGTATGGAGAGAGAGAGGGAGAGACTGTACACATAGTATGTAACATGGATACACAGTGTATAGTGCGCACTGACACTAATACTGTGTGTATGGAGAGAGAGGGAGAGACTGTACACATAGTCTGTAACATGGATACACAGTGTATAGTGCGCACTGACACTAATACTGTGTGTATGGAGAGAGAGAGGGAGAGACTGTACACATAGTATGTAACATGGATACACAGTGTATAGTGCGCACTGACACTAATACTGTGTATGGAGAGAGAGAGGGAGAGACAGTACACATAGTATGTAACATGGATACACAGTGTATAGTGCGCACTGACACTAATACTGTGTGTATGGAGAGAGAGGGAGAGACAGTACACATAGTCTGTAACATGGATACACAGTGTATAGTGCGCACTGACACTAATACTGTGTGTATGGAGAGAGAGAGGGAGAGACTGTACACATAGTCTGTAACATGGATACACAGTGTATAGTGCGCACTGACACTAATACTGTGTGTATGGAGAGAGAGGGAGAGACTGTACACATAGTATGTAACATGGATACACAGTGTATAGTGCGCACTGACACTAATACTGTGTGTATGGAGAGAGAGGGAGAGACAGTACACATAGTATGTAATATGGATACACAGTGTATAGTGCGCACTGACACTAATACTGTGTGTATGGGAGAGAGGGAGAGACAGTACACATAGTATGTAACATGGATACACAGTGTATAGTGCGCACTGACACTAATACTGTGTGTATGGAGAGAGAGGGAGAGACTGTACACATAGTCTGTAACATGGATACACAGTGTATAGTGCGCACTGACACTAATACTGTGTGTATGGAGAGAGAGAGGGAGAGACTGTACACATAGTCTGTAACATGGATACACAGTGTATAGTGCGCACTGACACTAATACTGTGTGTATGGAGAGAGAGGGAGAGACTGTACACATAGTCTGTAATATGGATACACAGTGTATAGTGCGCACTGACACTAATACTGTGTGTATGAGAGGGAGAGACTGTACACATAGTCTGTAACATGGTTACACAGTGTATAGTGCGCACTGACACTAATACTGTGTGTATGGAGAGAGAGGGAGAGACAGTACACATAGTCTGTAATATGGATACACAGTGTATAGTGCGCACTGACACTAATACTGTGTGTATGGAGAGAGAGGGAGAGACTGTACACATAGTCTGTAACATGGATACACAGTGTATAGTGCGCACTGACACTAATACTGTGTGTATGGAGAGAGAGAGGAGAGACTGTACACATAGTCTGTAACATGGATACACAGTGTATAGTGCGCACTGACACTAATACTGTGTGTATGGAGAGAGAGGGAGAGACTGTACACATAGTATGTAACATGGATACACAGTGTATAGTGCGCACTGACACTAATACTGTGTGTATGGAGAGAGAGGGAGAGACAGTACACATAGTATGTAATATGGATACACAGTGTATAGTGCGCACTGACACTAATACTGTGTGTATGGAGAGAGAGGGAGAGACTGTACACATAGTATGTAACATGGATACACAGTGTATAGTGCGCACTGACACTAATACTGTGTGTATGGAGAGAGAGGGAGAGACTGTACACATAGTCTGTAATATGGATACACAGTGTATAGTGCGCACTGACACTAATACTGTGTGTATGGAGAGAGAGGGAGAGACTGTACACATAGTCTGTAACATGGATACACAGTGTATAGTGCGCACTGACACTAATACTGTGTGTATGGAGAGAGAGGGAGAGACTGTACACATAGTCTGTAACATGGATACACAGTGTATAGTGCGCACTGACACTAATACAGCACTGCAGGTATGGGGTACCCTCACCCAGCCAGCCACTGGGGTACCCTGTACCCCTCACCCAGCCAGCCACTGGGGTGCCCTGTTCCCCTTCACCCAGCCAGCCATTGGGGTACCCTCACCCAGTCGGTTCCCAAGCTGTGTGCCACAAAATATTTACTCAGTGGGAAACATTACTGCTAAACAGGGACCCGGTCAATTGCCGCGGTCCTTTAAGACTGCGTCTTGGCCCCTGTAATGTCAGCCGCCTGGGAGGAAGTGACAGCCTGTCACTTCCTCCCAGCATCCTGCAGGGAGACAGCGTGAGAGGAGAGGTGCATGAAGAGCTCCAGACCAGTCACTCCCACAGCAGCAGGACGCCAAGCCACCCTCCTGGCGCATAAGGTAAGTTAACAGGAGGGTGGCTGGATTTTGCTTCTGTTTCTGTGCACACACATCTGTGTATGTACATCTGTGTGTCAGGGTGTTTGTTTTTATGTCAGTGTGTTTGTGTGACATGGTGTGAGCATGTATCAATGTTTGTGTGTAAGTCGGTGATTATATGAATGTGTGTGTCGGTATATTTATATGCATCTGTGTGTTAATGTCTGTGTGTATGTATGTGCATATATCCAAGGAATTATACTCCTGCAATCTAACACATATTACATACAAACACCCCCCTGCATTCAAACCAAAAAAAAAAAACACACCTCTTCACTCAAAGACAAATACGCCACACAAATGTACATCCACATTAAAAAGTGAACATTACATTCAGACACACCCATGCAATCAAACACAAATATCACATACAAACACAACCCTGTATTAAAACACAATAAAATGTATACAAGGACCCCTTCAAACACCAACACTGTACATTACACTGTAGCGCCAGTAAAAGTGGCTGTGCTATACAGTTATACAACCTAGAAATTTTGACTTGGGGTGCCTTGGACAAATACTGAAATATTAAGGGCACCTTGAACCTAAAAAGTTGAGGAACCACTGGGGTAACGAACCTGTACCCTCACCCAGTCTGTTCTGGGGGTTACCTGTACCCCGTTGCTGGCCACACCAGTTATAGGGTCCTTTCACAACCCAGTTATGTGGTTATCTTTCTCCGCTCTCTTTGCCCCCTCTCCCCCTCCAGTCGTGGCTCTTTGCCTCCTCCCCTCCCCCGTGATGGCTCACTTTGCCCCCTCTTGGTGGCTCACTTTGCCCCCCTCTTCCCCGTGGTGGCTGGCTTTTGCCCCCTCTTCCCCCGTGTTGGCTAAACTGCCCTCTTCCCCATTGGTGGCTCACTTGCCCCTCTCCCCATGGTGGCTCACTTCCCCTGCTTCCCCCAGTGGGTGGCTCTGCTTTTGCCCCCCTCTTCTCCCCCCCCAGTGGTGGCTCTCTTTGCCCAAAGTCTGTCTCTCTCTCTCTCTCCCTTCCTCAGCGATGGCGCTTTACCCCAAGTCTGTCTCTCTCTCTCCCTCAGTGATGGCTCTCTTTACCCCAAGTCTCTCTCTCTCCCTCAGTGATGGCTCTCTTTACCCCAAGTCTCTCTCTCTCCCTCAGTGATGGCTCTCTTTACCCCAAGTTCCCCTCTCTCTCTCCCTCCCTCCCAGTGGTGGCTCTCTTTGCCCAAAGTCTCTGTCTTTCTCCCAGTGGTGGCTCTCTTTGCCCAAAGTCTCTGTCTTTCTCCCAGTGGTGGCTCTCTTTGCCCAAAGTCTCTGTCTCTCTCTCTCCCTCAGCGATGGCTCTCTACCCCAAGTGTCTGTCTCTCTCTCCCTCAGCGATGGCCCTCTTTACCCCAAGTGTGTGTCTCTGTCTCTCTCTCTCCCAGTGATGGCTCTTTATCCCAAGTCTCTCTCTCTCTCCCAGTGATGGCTCTCTTTACCCTAAGTCTGTCTCTCTCTCCCAGTGATGGCTCTTTACCCCAAGTCTCTGTCTCTCTCTCCCAGTGATGGCTCTCTTTACTCCAAGTCTGTCTCTCTCTCCCTCCCAGTGATGGCTCTCTTTACCCACAGTCTGTCTGTCTCTCCCTCAGCGATGGCTCTCTACCCCAAGTGTCTGTCTCTCTCTCCCTCAGCGATGGCTCTCTTTACCCCAAGTGTGTCTCTCTGTCTCTCTCTCTCCCTCCCAGTGATTGCTCTCTTTACCCCAAGTCTGTCTCTCTCCCAGTGATGGCTCTTTACCCCAAGTCTCTGTCTCTCTCTCCCTCCCAGTGATGGCTCTCTTTACCCCAACTGTCTGTGTCTCTCAATCTCTCTCTCTCTCTCCCCCTCCCAGTGATGGCTCTCTTTACCCCAAGTCTGTCTCTCCCCCTCAGTGATGGCTCTCTTTACCCCAAGTCTGTCTCTCTCTCCCCCTCAATGATGGCTCTCTTGACCCCAAGTCTGTCTCTCTCTCCCCCCTCAGTGATGGCTCTCTTGACTAGATCTGTCTCTCTCTCCCCCTGTGGTGATGGCTCTCTTGACTAGGGTCTGTCTCTCTCTCCCCCCTCAGTGATGGTCTCTCCCATTAGTCTGTCTCTCTCTCCCCCCTCTGGTGATGGCTCTTGACCCCAGGTCTGTCTCTCTCTCTCTCTCCCCCTCAGTGATGGCTCTCTTGACCCCCAAGTCTGTCTCTCTCTCTCTCCCCCCTCAGTGACTCTCTTGACCCCCAAGTCTGTCTCTCTCAGCGTGGCTCTCTTGCCCAAGTCTGTCTCTCTCTCCCTCAGCCAGTGGCTCTCTTGACCCCAGTGTCTCTCTCTCTCCCCCTCAGTGATGGCTCTCTTGACCCCAAGTCTGTCTCTCTCTCCCCCTCAGTGATGGCTCTCTTGACCCCAAGTCTGTCTCTCTCTCCCCCTCAGTGATGGCTCTCTTGACCCCAAGTCTGTCTCTCTCTCAGCGATGGCTCTCTTTGCCCAAAGTCTCTGTCTCTGTCTCTCTCTCTCTCTCTCCCTCAGCGATGGCTCTCTACCCCAAGTATCTCTGTCTTTCTCCCCCTCAGTGATGGCTCTCTTTACCCCAAGTCTTTGAGTGATGGCTCTCTTTACCCCAAGTCTCTCTCTCTCTCCCTCAGTGATGGCTCTCTTTACCCCAAGTCTCTGTCTCTCTCTCCCAGTGATGGCTCTCTTTACCCCAAGTCTGTCTGTCTCTCTCCCCCTCAGTGATGGCTCTCTTTACCCCAAGTCTCTCTCTCTCTCCCCCTCAGTGATGGCTCTCACCATTTAAGTCTGGCTCTCTCTCCCCCCTCAGTGGTATTTTCCTCTCCCCCCCCTCAGTGATGGCTCTTTGACCCCTAAGTCCCTTCTCCTCTCCCCCCTCAGTGATGGCTCTCTTGACCCCCAAGTCTGTCTCTCTCTCCCCCCCTCAGTGATGGCTCTCTTGACCCCCAAGTCTGTCTCTCTCTCCCCCCTCAGTGATGGCTCTCTTGACCCCAAGTCTGTCTCTCTCCCCCCCTCAGTGACCAGCTCTCTTGACCCCAAGTCTCTCTCTCCCCCCCTCAGTGGCTCTCTTGACCCCCAAGTCTCTCTCTCTCCCCCTCAGTGATGGCTCTCTCTCCCCCTCAGTGATGGCTCTCTCTCCCCCTCAGTGATGGCTCTCTTGACCCCAAGTCTCTCTCTCTCCCCCTCAGTGATGGCTCTCTTGACCCCAAGTCTCTCTCTCTCCCCCTCAGTGATGGCTCTCTTTACCCCAAGTCTGTCTCTCTCTCCCCCTCAGTGATGGCTCTCTTGACCCCAAGTCTCTCTCTCTGTCCCTTTCTCTCTCTCTCTCACCCAGTGATGGCTATCCTTACTCCCATTTATATGGCTGTCTGACAGTGTTTGTCTATACAGCAATCCTCATTATTAGTTTGGTATCCAGCTCCGGTATGTCTTACCTGATATCAGTCTCCAGTATCCCAATTCTAGTCCCTATACGCAAGCTGTAAGCTTTAAACCCGGCTTTCTGTAGCAATGCATGCAGGGAGATGTAGTCCGTGCGGAACCAGTGTTAATCGGCAAACTCAACGCTCGGACTACATCTCCCGTCAGACAGCTCGGCTCAAGGTGTGACGCTTCATAAGGGATGGGCTAACCAGCACGTTCTATATGATGTCCGTGACGCTGATTGGTCAATGCCATCGTATGAGGATGGGCTATAAGCTTTGCAGCCAATGGAATGTGAGGAAGGTGGTTATAGCTCCGCCCACCGGAGTAACCTGCTCTGCTTGTCAATAATCCTAGATGAATTCATAGATAAAGATATATATAATCACTCACTTTCCCTTTCTATGTCATATATAATGTGTAAATATAGGATTATATCCAATATAATTATAAATATTATAAACTATAGTATTATATCCAGCTATAGATTGCCAAACTATTATATAAAACAGATATACAAATGTAATACCTCCCAAGTGTCCCTGTTTAGGAGGGACAGTCCCTAATTAGGACCCAGATCTTTCTGTCCCAGTTTACTGGGAGCTCCATAGTGTTGGTGTCTGAGTGTGTAACAGAGCTCCACAGCAATAATACTTTAAACTACAATAAATTTGTTCAGATATTAGTCTAAACATTGCTCTTGTACTAAATTACAGTTTAGTTGCATAAATTGTTACTAGGACACCTAAAATTTCTCATAACAGCCCTGCCAAGCCCTCACACAAACTCTACAATTAAAGTGTCCCTCTTTGTCCATTTAAAATATTGGGTGGTATGTCCAACATGTGTGCACTGTAAAGCCGCTATGTAGGTGCAAAACCATTATGTGTGTATTATCTGAAACCGCTGTATAGATTGCTAGCCCATTATATAAAACCGCTGTATGGATTTGCAATCATTTGTGTATTGTAAAAAATTGGAATTCCATTCAGAATGGAAATTCGCTCCTGGACCCTGGTGAGTTTTCTATGGATTCCCCTGAGTGCTATTCGCAAATTGCTATTACCGGTATTTGAAACAATGGGTGCATCACTTATATCTGTGGTCCTCACTAGTGGTGTTAAAGGGACACTGTAGGCACTGTATTTGGTTCATCTCAATAAACTGGTTATAGCGTCTGGAGTCCCCTGGTGCGTCCTTCCATTCAGGATTAAACCGTTTTGTTTTTTTAAGCATCAAAATCAATTCAACTTCATGAACTGGTTTTTGGACACAGAGGCTGCCCTGCAGCTATAGTGTTGAAAACTGTGCCATCTCTGAGAAACCGCAGACAGACTGCCATTTTGGGCTGAAATAGATTTAGTAATTAAATTGCTGAGTGGATTTTAAATGAAAACCATTTTTAGGAAGTTATGCTGACACCGGGCACAGTATTGGGTCTAATGCTTCTCATAGGGAAGCTTTGATTTGTCAGATTGTGCTCTGTCTGCAATGCTTCTCTATGAGAAAACATTACATTTAAAGGGACACTCCAGGCACCCAGACCACTGCTGCCCATTGAAGTGGTCTGGGTGCCAACTCCCATCACACTTAGCCCTGCAAGTGTAATTATTGCAGTTTTTATAATAGATTAACCTTTTTTGCAGGAGGGTGGCTGCGGCTGATGGGAGTCGGCATGGCTATATCCTGCTTGGCGGCCTGTCTCTCTTCCCTCCCACGCGGAGGGAGCTGGGATGAAGTGACCACCGGCCGTCACTTCCTCCGAGCACTACTTTGCGGCTGCGATTTTGTAAAAAAATTTCAAGGGGCCCAGTCGTGCTATTGCTACCCATCTGCCCACTAGTAACCTCTCACATAGGAAATGCCTTCCAAAAGGAGCAGGGGAAGCTGTGAGTCATGTAGTTCTGATTCTCAGTCTGACTGGTCTACAGAAAACATAGGCAGGTGAGTACTTGGTAAATAACCCTTCAAACTCCAGTACTCAAAGCCTAAATCTCAGTAATTATAAACAGCTATATTAGAATGTTAACACTGAACACCTTATGTAATCTAACATTAACCCCCTCTAGACTTAAACAACCCCTTTACGCTAATCACTTATATTTGTTTTTTCTCACTTACATTTTTTACTTTTTCTCTTGAAACAGAACAAAAGGGGGTACAGAAATAAGAGGGGGGGGGGGAGGTGTAACGTATTTTGCATATACTCAGACACACAGTCACAGGAATGCCATTTCTTGCACAAGTATACGATTGTGCAACATAGCATATAAACTTGCATCTGGTCTCATGGTAATACAATTACAGTACAATTATATTGACTGTTAGAGATATAACCGACATTATAGAAACATAACTGACTTTGTCTATCATGACCCTATGTAGTAGAGATCACATTAAATCGTGCAAGACAGTGGTATATGGATTAACAGGGTTACCAGGGGTATAATATACCATAGTGCTAGGTTCAGTATGGCCTTTTCAGCTGTTATTGATCTATGGGATACCTCCCTTAGCGGAAGGTTCAGGTGCCATTAGTTAGCTGTTATTGTGCGTAAGCGTGACTAACCCCACATTCTCATTGATCCAAGAGTACTCCATCTCCATGTGTCCCGCAAATTCCATGTCTCCAAGAACGTCTTAGTTTACATATTCAACCCTGCTTTCAAATACACATCGGTACACACTATAATCACAGATTCAAACACTATATTACAAGCAGGAATATACACATGAATACATATACATATGCAGTTGTAAAATATGAATGTTTTTAGGCCTGCAATGTCCAGTTAAAGGGATACTATCAGTGACCTGTGCAACACAGGCCCGCTCCCACGGATGCGCATCGCATATCGAAGGACCTGACCCTGCAGCGGGTATAAGTGGGCCAAAGACTGTACAACACTCTCCAACTGCACACTCTGTGCCTCCCGAGTCTCCGGAGGATCCAATCACCAAACGTGACCTGAAGCTACTGCTAGCTGATATCCACAAATTGCTGGCGGCTGACAACACCCTTATCAAAACGGAGGTGTAAGGACATGAAATGGTTAACTCTTTGGCAGATGTATTTTGTACCAATGTCTGTTGTCTACAGCAGGGGTTCTCAACGTTAGTCCTCAGGACCCCCTACCAGTCCAGGGTTTAGGGATTACCTGGGTGTGTCTAAGGTGTTTAGAAAAAGAAAAAAAAAAAACACCTTCCAGACCAGAGTCTAAGGTGTTTTTTTTCCCTTTTTCTAAACACCTGATACACACCCAGGTAATCCCCAAATCCTGGACTGGTAGGGGGTCCTGAGGACTGGGTTGAGAACCCCTGGTCTACAGGATGTATGACCTTGCTTGACCTTAGGATGTTCCTGTCTCCTCTTTATTCAACCGCTTATCTTTTTTAATGTCAGACAAGTATGTACTATTAACTATTAGGAAACGATAAATCTCATTGCTTGCATGACAAACTGTATAAATGCTAGCCCTGAAAATATACTCATTGAGAACTTGTTCAGCACTCTTTCGTGTCTGTGTCTTAATTTGCTAACAAGAACTCCCATCAATTGATGTGGTGACCGGAGGATCGAGAATCGAGGGGAGTTGAGTCCAGAACAGCATTTACCCTTTCAGGAGGTGCTGTCATGTATTCATCTGCACATAAAAATGTGGTTAATGGCATTTACTGTCCATCATGCACATGGAAACCTGGTAATTACTTTTGGGGTCAAAGGCCTGTCATGGCCAATCAAATCCACAGGAGGGTTTGTGCTGAGCAGCAATTATGCACATTGTAATTGAGTTTGGAGTCAAAGGCCGGTTACAGCCAATCGGATCCACAGGAGGGGTATTTAAACCCAATTCTCCTCTTGCTTATCGCCCTGTCGTGGTTTAATCCTGATGGTAATCAGAGAGTGCGTTCCGGATCTTGATTTTCTTTTGACTTTGGCTTTGTTTTGACTTTCCTGATATCTTGTATCCTTGGCGTTTGGATTTCCCTCATCTTTGTCTCTGATTCTGTATCCCTGACCTCGGCAAGTATTTTGACTATTCTTGGAGACGTTAAGTCCGGCCATTCTAAGGTCCGGTTATACGTTATCCTTAGTCCTAGGTGTGGCACAGTACTCCGTGCTGGATCAACTTGTAATCCTGACATAACGACATGGCCATAGATCCTGCAGAATTGTGTCCGCACATAGCAGCTTGTGAGAGAAAGCTAGAGGATGGATCAATTTGCCCAGGCTTTTAGCACACTTCTTACTAGGACGGCTCATTTACAACCTGAGGCTTTTCCAATTATGTCAACACTACCTAATGTACCTCCACCTATAGTATATAAGGCACCTACGATCTCCTTAACTCC